CCTGCCCTTGCACCTCTCGCTCCCAATTAGTTGTTACCAATAGTTTTCGGTGTCCTATCATTTTTTCACAGAGAAAAACAGCCTTCGGGATCTCAGCCCCTTTAGAATACAAATATTTCTGCTTTTGCTGGTCTGGGCTTTCGTGTTCCCTGGCAAATGTATGACCACCTCTGCAATTGTGGCAACCCTGCTGTATTGTCAAGAAAACTAGGATAGAAGGTCAAGAGTGGAGGAAGGACAAAATCTCCTTCCTAACACACACGGATTTACAGGTTCATCTCAGTCTTTGCTTTGTGAACAAAATTTGCCTTTCAGGAAATTGTAGGATTTGCAAACTAGGGAGAAATATACTGGAGGCAGAGTAAAAAGATTCCTTTAAGCATGTAAATTTAATTAAAAAGAAATCCTTCTGTGGCACCTCAAAGTTGCTTGCATCAATCCTGTTTTTCAAAAGTTTCTTTCTGCCTCTGTACCCCTGTGACAACAGCAGGGCAGCTGGTGACGTGGCTAAGTTCTTAGCTGCTTCCACCAACTCCCAGATGGCTGCTTTCAGGAAGTTGCCATAGTGACCAGAGGCAGGAAAAACCTGCCTGCCCAGCTTAGCAATATCATATCCGGCTTCTACTGGGAACTTGGAGACTCAAGGGCAGTTGGCCGGAGATGTGGCATATGCATATTATTGCAGAGCCTCTTTAAAGTCTATATAGAATTTGACCATTTCTTGCCAGTCCCACTGTAGTGAAGCCAACGTCATTCCCACCAGTGGCACTCCTGCCTCTGCACGGCAGCCAGAGAGCTTTTAAAACCTAAGTCAGATTCAGGTTTCCCTCTGCGCAGAACCCTGCTGTGATGTCCCAACTCCCTGAGAATAAGATACAAAGTCTGCACACATTGTCAGGCCCACTGTGACTCCTGCCGTGTCTCCCACTCAGGTTTGCTCTTGCTCTTCCTTCCTGGTCCCCAGCCTGCTGGCTGCCTTGCTTCTGCTTCAGCCTTCCAATTATGTTCCTGCCTCAGAGGCACCAGCTGTTCCTTCTGCCTGTCTCCCTTTTCCCTCAGATAGGACTTGATCCTTCACTTCCTTCTTTAGTCTTTGCTCAGATGTCCCCTTATCCTCAAAAGTTTTTTTCTGACCACTTTATTATACATAGCCCCTCTCTTCTATACTCTCTACACTTTACCTTGATTTATTTTTCTTACAGTACTGAAGTTGTCATGATCTGGCTCAGCTATTTCTGTGTTTTTTTGTCTGATTCTCTACTGTAACGTAACAGCTGGGACTTGGGATTTTTGCTGTTGCATCTCAGCCTTTAGAACCATGCCCGGCATGCCCGGGGACGACTGGTGGCTCAGTTGTTAAGCATCCGACTCTTGGTTTCTGCTCAGGCCATGATCTCATGCTTCGTGGGATGAGCCCCGCTCCGGGCTCTAGCACAGAGCCTGCTTGGGATTTTCTCTCTCCCTCTCTCTGCCCCGCCCCTGCTTGTGCTCACTCTCTCTCTCAAAATAAGTAAACTTAAACAAAAAGAAACAACAACAAAAAAAAACATGCCTGGGTTGTGGTGGTGCTCAGTAAATGCTTGTTGAGTGAATGAATGAGTGGGAGGCAGGTCAAGGTCGGAATTGTCTCCCTGGCTCTCCACAGCTGGAGACAGCTCATTTCCTCCACTGTAAGCAACACCCGCTTCCTTCACACTTTCTCTGTCCCTCCAGAAAAAAACAACCAAATCACTACCTCTGTGGTGTCAGTGATGAGGATGCTGGTGATGATCTAGCTGGTGGCTGTGTGACATCAATGCACCAGGCCAGATGGGAGGTAGCATGGTTTTGTAGGAGGCTACATTGTTGGAGTCTGTTTGGAAAACTGTACGTGGGTCTTTTGTAGGCTAATTTTTTCTGTATAACGAATAGAGGCATCTACTTCAAAACATGTTACAAGGATTAAATGATGACATGATTTTGAAACTTCTCAGTCCCTTTAATGTAAAAATATGTAATGTTCTATCCAGCACAAAACTCTGATTGAAACCAGGCCCTACATATCTGTTACACTGAAGGAAGACATTCGGTTCTCATACTGTCCTTGCGCAGAACAGGCAAGGCTAGGACAGCTGACCTGTTAGGGAAGCAGGTTCTGCCATCTGGCTCTCAGTGGAGCTTGTCTGGAAGCAGCTCTCCCAGTTGGGCAGCAAGGCCTCCCTGATGGGCATTTAGGCCAAATGTGGCATGGTCAGGGTGAGTCTGAGGCAGGGGTGGAGGTTAGTGACCAGTTGAGCTGCACTTACTCGCTACGAGATGACTCTTGCCCCCAGATTTGCAGATAGGTCTTTGAAGAGAATGGGGACTTTTTTCACATGGCCACTGTGAGCATAGGCTCGAGCTAAGGCACCTATGGGGTGATGTTTTCTCAAAAGTTCCCTTTGCTTTTCTTTTTTGCTTCTTTCTCACTCACCTGACCCTTCTGGCCTACCAGAATTCTGTGGCAGAGAGCCTGGAGAAGTTCTGTGGGCCAGAACAGCAATGGCCACCTGAAAAATTGACAAAAGCAGATGTTTCTTTTAGGTCTGGGTCTGGGTGAACATGATTTAAAAAACTGGAAGGCAGCTTGTCCTAAAATATTTCAGCCACCTCTCCGTATTGCTACTTCCTTTTTATTTCACAGAGTCCAAGCCTTTCATTCCATAGTTGGAAATAAAAGGCTTCATATTCAGAAAAGGCTGAAGAAGCTATTCCAGAAACTGCATTTCTGTTGAAGCTCAAGTAATAACAGATTCTTTTTAGATCTAATAGGAGCAGGTTAGAAATGGGAAGTTAGAAATTGAGAGGACACGCCAGACAATGGCTTTTTCTTATTTTTAAAAATTGAAATGTAATTCACATGCTATAAAATTTACCATTTTTAAAGTGTACAGTTCAGTGGTTTTAGTGTTTCATACTGTTGTGCAACTGTCACCACTATCCCATATTCCGGAACATGTTTCTTCTCCCCAAATGGAAACCCTGTTAGCAGTCACTCTGCAGTCCCACTGCTCCCCCCATCCCCAAGCTTGGCACTCACTACCCTATTTTCTACCTATGGATTTGCCTTTTCTGGACATTTCACTTGAATAGAATCCTACAGTATTCATCCTCTTGTGAGCAGCCTCCTCACTGAGCGTAATATTCTCATGGTTCATTGATAGGGCCGCACGAATCAATACTTCACTTTCCTTTTTACAGCTAAAGAGTTTTCTGTTGTATGGACAGTCCATATATTTTGTATAGCCATTCGTCAGTTGGCTTTTTTCTCCTTTTTGGCTAAAATGAATAATGCTGCGGTGAACAGCCGTGTACAAGTTTCCGGGTGGACATGCTTTCATTTCTCTTGGGTGAATAACTATAGGAGTGGAATTACTGGTCATGTGGGAACTCCGTGTTTACCTTTTTGACAAACTGCCAGACTGTTTGCAACAGCAGCTGCTTAATTTTATATTTTAAGTCCCACCAGGGATGTGTAAGGTTCCACTTTCTCCACGTCCTTGTCAGCACTTTCTTTTCTTACAGCCATCTTAGTGGGTGTGAGGTGGTATCTCATTAAGGTTTTGATTTGCATTTCCCTGATGAGCAGTGATGTCCAGCGCCTTTCACTTGCTCTTTGGCCACTAACATCTCTTTTTGGGGGAAATGTATATGTGGATCTTTTGCCCATTTTGTCTTTTTTATTGTTGAGTCCTCATTTTGTGAGAGGACAATAAAAGGGAGGGAGGCAGGAGTTTCAGTGGCAGCAGGAGAGATCTAAATTAGATTGTGGTCTCTTGGTTTCCCAGCTGCAAGGCTGGTGACAAATATGGTAAAGCTGGACGGCTGGGTGATGTTGTAAATGTCAGTATTGAGGTGAATTAGAGGCATTGATCCAGAAGCTAATTTGTGTTCTACTGAATGGTTCCTCAAAGATTCTGGCTCGGGGAAACTTATTCATGGAGGTTTGGGTGGTGGCTGGTTTTCTCTCTTCTCTCCTCTTCTCTCCTCTCCTCTCCTCTCCTCTCCTC